TGGTAAATCTTTGCAGAAGTAGACTGCCCAGTCTTCCTTCCGTGGAGTGGCTGGTGGGTCTGAACTGCCAACCTTCTGGTTAGCAGTCAGATGTCTTAGGCACTCTCCACCAGAGCTCCTTAATTCTACAAAGGAAATATTATTGTTCCTATAGATAAAGAAGGGGGCTCTGGTGGCGGAGTGCCTAAGGCATTTGACTGCTAACCAGAAGGCTGGTGGTTCAAATCCACCAGCCGCTCCTCAGAAGGAAAGACTGGGCAATCTACTTGTGTAGAGTTACTTGTGTACTTTCCTCCTTGGAAACTCAAGGAGGGGTCGCTATGAGTTGGAACTGACTCGACGGCAGTAAGTTTGTTTTTTTTTGGTTATAGATAGGAAAACTGAGGGTCAAAGACTGCTCAATAACTTGCTCAAGGTCGTACAATAAAGATGTGTTGAGTGAGTGAACGAATGAATGAATGAACAAGTGCCTTAATGACTTTGGGGCTTTGCCACTTTTCTCTTTTGTCCCCCATAAACACTGGAGGTGGCTCAGTGGCTTTGGGGACTCCTGGGCCAGGAGAGCAGGGAGTTCAGAGAAGGAGGTGACCCTAGTAGAGAGTAGCTCCAGGCAGCCCTGAGTTACTCAGTAACCTCAGACACTTGGTCCCCAGGACCAGCCTGGTCAGGCTGGGCCAGGGCAGCCAGCAGACACTCTTCCCCTTGGCTACCCTTCAAGCACCCAGCTGGTCACTGGAAAGTGGAGATGGAAGGTCAAATATTGGGCAGATCTCAACCAAGACAGCATGGGGGCTGGTGACAGAGTCAAGGGCCCCTCAGAGGAGACCTGTGGTGAGTGGAGGGAGAGATCAAGCCCCCCATTCTGGCAGAGCTGCCTGGGGCAGAGGAGGCAGGAGGGAGAGCCAAGGGCCTTGACATCACATGACAACCCAAAAGAAAACCATGGCTGAGCCTTTCCAAAGTGCTTGGTGGATGGTGGAATGCAGCACCCTCACAAGTGTGGGCCAAGGGAGATCTCAGATTTGGAGGGCTGTCAAGGTCTTGCTTTCTGCTGGAGAAGGGCTGATATCAGCTGGTACTCAATAGTTAAAATATGGAGATACTCCCATACAGGTTGGCAAATAGCTGCCACCCCAAGGCCTCCAGGCATACCCCTCTGAGGTTGGCCAAGCTATCCTGGACCTTCATAGGGACTTCGTAGGCCTCCCCACAATCCAGCAACTAAAGGATTAACACCCACCAGGGTAAGGGACCTCCAGAACCCTGCTCCAAACTTATCTGTTACTTATGGTGATTAGGAACTCAGGTTGTATTCCATGGTTGGCCCTAGATGAATAGTTGTTGAATGACTGAATAAATGAATGAGCAACAGAGGAGAGGAAAAACCAAACACCCAGAGGAATTTAGAAAGAAAAAGAGAGACAGCGGGTGAGATCAAGATGGAGAAAGCTGGAATCAGGGAGGCGACTCCTAGAAGATGGTTGGAAGGCCCAGCCCACTCCTAGCTTTCTCTCTCATTTTGTAGCTTTTGAAGGTTCCCTTTTCTTTCGTTTTTAAATTTTTATTGTGATTTGGATGACTTTACAGAGCAAATTCATTTTCCATACAGCAATTCATACACATTTTGTTTCATACCATTGCATGAAATTCCCCACAATTATAGTTCCCACTACCTCTCTTCCCACTTCCTCCCCATAGTTACCTCTTTCCTGTGCCCTTCTGTTCTGGTTACCTAGTGCCGCTCTGACAAAAATATACCACAAATGGGATGGCCTTAACAAACAGGAGTTTATTCTCTTACAGTTTGGGAGGCTAAAAGTCCAAGTTGAAAGTGCCAGGCTTGAGGGGCTGTATGAAAGCCCCTCAACCTTGGGCTTCAGCTCTGCCTCTTGCTCCCGGCCCACTGAAGCTAGAGGCATCTCTTCACTCAGGCAGCTGGCTGCTGAGGCTAACAAGCCCAAGGTCAACAAATAAAATGTCAGTCTCGATGTTACCAAACCACAAGGCAGGCCATTAATTCAACTCCATTTAAGTCCCAAGATCGGCAGAGCATGGCAGGCTGCTGAACAATGACAGGGCTACATGCAGGGTCCAAGCGTGCCATAAACTAGAGACCATTCCCAAAGCAGCTTCTTAAATATGAGAAGCAGACCACATACCCAAAGCAGCTACTCAGCTGTTTGTTGTAGATCCCACCATGGAGATGATTGCCATTCTCATCACGGGGAATAACTACCACCAGCTGCCCAGCCACTCAACCAGGCCCAACCAAGTTGACACACAAACAACGACCACATCTTCCTTCCTGTGCAGTCCTGTGCTGAGCTGTCTCCCTGTGCAAACACTGCCCTTCTGTTCTCCCACAATTGATCATTCCAAGGAGTACATCTACCTAATGTAAATGTTCACCCCATATGCCTGTCTGTTGTTTGGCTGGAAGCCACAGGAGTGAGTTCAGTTCCAGATCTGAAGGGTAGTTAGGGGCCATAGTCTCAGGGGTCTCACCAGGCTCTATCAGACCAGCAAACCTGGACTTTTCTTATGATTTTGAGTTTTGTTCCATGTTGTTCTCCTACTCTATCCAGGATCTGAAGGTTCGCCTTTCACCTCAGGACCTGTCCAGTCCCCGTCTGGGAAGCCCAGAGCATAACCCTCACTCCCAAACAAGGCTCAGGAAGCAGGCTGCACTTCTAGAGCAGAAGTCTGGGTTAGGGAGGAGCCCCCAGATGCTGAATGATCCAAGAATCATTATCCAAAGGCTGCTGACTGGGCATCTTCCCCTTCTCTGCACCACAGCTAGCAAACAACGTTCCTGCTGACCAAGTAGTGACAGGGAATCTCTGGGACAGGGGCCACTGAGGGCCAGAGAGCTTGCTTAGCCAGCTGTGAGCAGTGCTACCGAGAGGATGTACCCTACCTCCTACCACCGTCTCCACTTTTCTGGGCACTTAGGAAAGCTGAATACCTAGATTCCCACTATTCCCAAGATCCCATGTTGGGCTGGAGGCTTGGGCCCATGAGGGGAGATGGGAAGAAGGTGCACTGAGGAAGGAGCAAGAGAAAAAGAGGAGAGCCAGGGACTTCACCTCTGTCACCCTGGTCACTACCACTCCTGAGAAGGGGCTAGCCTGGTTCATAGGAGGCACCCCACCCTACATCCACTAGTTAGAATAAGACTTGGCCACATCCCCTGAAGGTGGCAGCTCTTCCTTCAGGCCAGAGTCCAGGGCATCTTTGCAAACATCCACCTGCGTCTCCCACACAACAGGCCCCTCAGACAGATCGTGATGGGTGGGCAGCAATGCGGACACGTGAGTTGCCCTCCCACCAGCCCCACTGAGACTGGCTTTCAGCTTTTCAGCTTCTTCTCTGTGGTCTGTAAATGGAGATCCTGGGATTAGAACTGTAAGAATCCATGATGCCAGGTCCTACATGCTTAGAGCCCTCCAGTGACCCACACCCACTGGGTATAGGCCACATGCTCCCTGGGCTCAGTTCCTTCCTCTGCCTATGAGGTCCTTGGGTAGTGCAAATGGTTGTGTTCATCTACCAGTCTAAAGGTTCAGGGCTCAAACTTACCCAGCAGCACTGCAGAAGAAAAGCTGGGCAGTCTGCTTCCATAAAGATTACAGCCAGGACCCTACAGAGTCATTTTACTCTGTAACACATGGGGTCACCATGAGTTGGAACCAACCTGACAGCAACAGCTTTTCCTTCCTCATTTGCCCAATTCCTAGGCTGTCCTTCCGGACTTTCCTTAGACATTGCCTCCTCAGGAAGCTGTTCTCCATCTCCTCCTTCTCCCTGTGGACTGAGTGGCTCCTCTTTTTGGGCCCCCACAGCCTCTGTGTTTCCCTTATTACAGCATTTACCCCAATGGTAATTAAATTCCCTTTTAAGTGTCTGTCTCCCAACCAGACAGCAGTTCCTGAAAAGAGAGACTAGCTAGTTCATGGCCACAGCCTGTTGTTGTTGTTATGTGCCATCGAGTGGCACCCAACTCATAGTGACCCCTCCTTGGGTTTCTGAGGCAGTATCACCACGGAAGTAGGTTGCCCCACAGCCTAGCTCATAGTTAAGTGCTCAATGAAGATCTGTCTCCTGGTGTCTGTTTACAGACCCTAATGGATGTGAATCTTGCTTGTGTAACAAGGGGACCTCTGACCCATAACTGGGAAGGCCTTCCTTTGATCTAGCCTCCTCTCTTCAGTTGCACAGGTAACCCAGGCCCTCTCAAATCTACACTGGACTGCGCAAAGAACTAAGGTGTTAGTGTGTCCCCTGCCACCTGCCAAACTGTGGTAGGAGTAGCAGATTGAGGGTGGGAAGGTGGAGGAGGCTTGGGGTGGGGGTAAGGGACTCTACTGGCAAACAGACATTCGGAGCCTGGTTAATCATCAGTGCCTAGAGAGCCATCTGTTTATTTCTGTTCTCCATCTCTGCTCTTTTCAGTAAGAAAAAGATTGAGTAACCCCACCCCCCAAGTCCATCTTGTGTTAACCCTTCAGAGCCCAGTCTGGGGTCTTTAAAGGTCGCTTATTTCTGAGGAGACACTGTCCAAAGTGACACCACGTATGAGGGGGTGGGTCCTCTCCATCTCCCCACCACTGGGTCAAGCAGCTGCACGCCAGCATGGCAGAACACTGGGCGCCTTTCCAGGGTTACTTCGAAGAACCTGCCCCAACCGGAAAAGCGCCAGCATCAGCGGGGCAAAGGAAAACAGGGTCTGAGCACTGCCCTCCCACAGAGCTTGCCCCACCTCAGGGCGCTGCCCGCGCCGCCCCCGCTTCTAACCCCGCCCCACCAGGACCCTGAGAAGCCCGGGGAGTTAACGCGGCAGAGGCCAAGCCTCCGTGTGGGTGGGGCTCCAGGTGGGCGGGTCCACAGTGGGCGGGGTCTACTGCCAGTGAAACCGGCTCAGCCCGCCCCGCGAGTATCTATCAGTCCCGCGTGGCGCGTCCAGAATCCGAGCCCCAGTTGGCGACTCGCACACCTGCCCCATGGCAGGGTCCCCCCGCCGCGCCGTGGATCGGCGCCTGCAGCTACCTCTGCTGTGCCTCCTTTTCCAGGGCGCCACTGCCATCCTCTTCGCGGTCTTTGTCCGCTACAACCACGAAACTGACACTGCCCTCTGGCACTGGGGCAACCACAGTAACGGCGACAATGAATTTTACTTTCGCTACCCAAGTGAGTGCGGGTGAGGGTGCTAGGGGACCAAGACCCCAAATTCCTTGCCGTCTGGGGAGGGCCGCTTGGGTGCCTGGATCTACCTCTAGATGGGCGATTCTGCTCCAAAGAAGGGGGAGTGGCTAGAAGCTGTCTAATGGCATTCCCTTGTCGCTCTAAAATGAAGAGGCCCCGGATTTCTAATAACAAACACCCTGTCCTTGGTCTGCCGTGTACCAGGTACTGTGCTGAGAACATGCATTATCTCATTTAGTCTATAAAGTAGACACAGATGGAAAATTGAGGCTCAGAGAGGTTAAGCACCTTGCACAGGATCTGGCAGTCAGAAGTGCAGGAGCTTGGATCTGAATCCAGATCTAAAGCCCCAGCTTTAACCTCTCCCTCTTCCCACTTTCCAGTTGGTCTGATTGGGCTTTGCAGGGCTGCTCCAGCGACTTTGCCTTTTCTAGGGACTCCTCCCTGACCACAGGCGAGAGAACCCTTCTGGGTAGGGGAGGCAGGGGCTGGCCACGCAGGAGATGTTAATGGCAGGTGTTAACTATGAAGCCCTCAGACCTGCAAGTAGCCTACTATACTGGTGGGGCTCAGGTACTTCTTCCTCAATAGAGTTTTGAACCGGTTCATTCCTGTTTCTTATGCATACATGAAAATCACCTGGGGATCTTGTTAAAATGTAGATTCTGGTTCAGTGTGTCTGGGGTAGAAATTACAGTTCTCAGCAGGGGGTCAAACCTGAATGAAGTGGTTAGAAGAAAGCCCTATTCCCCAGTCTCCCAAAGCTGGCCCCTCCAGAAGAGAAAATGACGCAACCACCTGCCTGCAAACCCTTCAGAGAGCAGCACCCTCTAGCCCTGAGAGGGAGGCATGGGTCATTAGCCCATTTCATAGAGGAGGAAGCTGAGGCTCAGGGGGGTTATGACTTGCTCATGATCACCCAGTACGTGAATAGCAGAACTGGAACTAGAACTCAAATATCCCAAGCTTCTTGCACCACAACTCAGCAGCCTGCTGACAAGGCCCAGAAACGGAAGGGTTAACTGCAGTTTGGTGAGGACATAGCCTCAAGACTGGGGGCCCAGCCTTGTGACTCAGGTGGTGGCTGGGACTAAGGATATCAGACTTCCCAGAGTTCTGTCGTTACAAATGTTTGGGCAGGTCATCTCTAGGCCTCAGTTTTCCCCACTGAGGCAATGAGAAAAAATGTCTCAGTTTAAAGGCCTCGGGTGTGAGAATCTCCTGTACAATACCCCAGACTGTTATTACCTGAATTTCTATGTGTAGACCTGGCAGCAGGCTGTCCCCATCTCACCCTGCCCCAGCTCCAACAAAGTGAAACTGACAATGTTGGGGAAATAGGGGGCAAGATGGGGACTTGGAGTTGAGCATGAAGTGTTAGATGCCCAGGAGATTACATCTCCCTCTCCCCGTATTTCACCTTGAGGCCTGGTCAGAAATGGTGCACCATAGAAGCTGGGGCTCAAAGTTGGCATGGCAGATTCTTGGGATCACACATTTGTCTAGAGAGATAGGGAGTTGGGAGGGAACAGTCCAGAGGCAGAAGTAAGCTCTTGCCCAAGAGTCTGACCTGGCTGCGTACCATGAACTCCACTTGTTTCTCCCAGGGGCCCCACTCTGGGCTTCCCAGCCCTGCTCCTTTTGAAGTGCCCCCTGAAGTGTAACCTCTAGCCCCTCTGCTGTGATGGTGGGTGGGCTCTCCTCAGACAGACATACAGCTTTCCCTCCCTGCACTGAAGTAAAAGGAATAGGTTCCTAAGTTTCAATCCCTGTGGACTTAGGACCCTACTCTCAGCAGGTTGGGGAGAAGGGAGGTGTGAGGTCCCTGCAGCCTGGGGCTTTGATGAGCCGATCCTCACCTGTCCCTGTGTGCAGCTTAAGGTCAGGGCCAGAGGGAGTGTAGCCACCGCCCTTTGCTTCATGAGATGAAAGGGAGTTCTGAGGTTGTTTTTGGGCTGCAGACCTGACCAGTGCCAAGGGCATGGCCCTCTGAGGGTCCATGGCCCTCAGAGCCCATCTGGTCCACTCCTCTCAGATGTGGAGAAAGAAAGAGAGCCAGGGACATCATGTGACCTGACCAAGGTCACACAAGTTGCAGACAGAACACAGACTGACCAGGTTTCTTGACATCCCATCTGCAGCCTCTTATTCCACAAAGCAAATGTTGGAAAATAAGAAAGGGGTAAAGAGCCAGGGGGTACAGAAGCAAACATGAGAAAGGGTTCTAAGAAAAAAGACCTGGATGGGTCCTTCTTTCATATACCTCAGAGACCTTACTTGCAGGGAGAGAGATAGGATAGATAGAATCAGGATCTTCTTGGAAGAGGTGAAGGATAGAGAGTATGATCTGGACCAGAATGGTTTGTGGCATCTCTTTTAAGAGACTATAACCCTATTTGCCCTCTTAGAGGCCAGGGTGGGAGTAAAGTGGGAGAGGGAAAGATGACTTCTTAGCGTCCCTTTCCCTTCTCCCTAAAAAAACCAAAAAACCAAACTCACTGCCGTAGAGTCAGATCTGACTCACAGTGACGCCTCCTTGGGTTTCCGAGGTGGTATCACTACGAAAGTAGAATGAATGCCCAATCTTCCTTCTGAGGAGTGGCTGGTGGGTTTAAACCACCAGCCTTCTGGTTAGCAGTCAAATGCCTTAGGCACTACCACCAGAGCTCCTATCCCCTTCTCCCTACTCTTCATATTTCATATTTCCATTTCTCAGATGTGCAAACTGAGGTTCAAGGAAGTTAAGTGGCTTATCCAAGGTTATGCAGAAAGAAGGGGAGGAAGTTGGAATTCAAGTCCCAATCTGTCAGATACTAAAGCCCCAGTTTTTTTTTTTTATTTTTTTATTTATTGTGATTTGGGTGAAGATTTACAGAGTAAATTCACTTTCCATACAGCAGTTCACATATACTTTGTCTCATGTCATTGACCACAGTTTACCACAATGCAACAGCTCCCCTCCCACTTCCTCCCCATAGTACCACTTCCCAGTGTCCATCCCTCCATACTCTCCTGCCCCCTGAGCTGTCTCCCTGTGCATAAGCTGCCCTTCTTTCTCCCATGATTGTTCTCTCCAAGGAGTGTGTCTACTTGAGGTAGATGTTTAACTCAAATGCCTGTACTTTGTTTGACTGGAAACCACAGGTGTGGGTTCAATTCCGGACCTGAAGGGCAGCAAGGGGCCATAGTCTCAGTGGTTCCACCAGGCTGTATTGGACCAGCAAACCTGGTCCCCACCTTCTTTTTTTTTTTTCCTCCAAATGATTTTGAGTTTTGTTCCACATTGTTCTCCCTCTCTATCCAGGATCTCCTACATCCCTTCCAAGTGGATGACAGTGGTAGCCGTAAAGCCCCAGTTTTATCCACTCCTTTGTTCCACAGTCTTGTCCAAGTTCATCTAGCAGGACTGGGGGAGAGTGGTCAGGTCAGGAGAGAGGGTAACAGATGGTTCTTTTATCTTTTCCCTGACCAAAGGTGTATAGGTTTGGTGGTGGGTGGATGGGGTGGGTGTCAAGCATCAGGATCCCCTGAAGGGAAGGTTGTTGTTGTTAGGTGCTGTTGAGTTGGCTCTGACTCATAGCAACCTTATGTACAACAGAATGAAATACTGTGCAGTCCTGTGCCAGCCTCACAATCTTTGCTAGAGCTGAGCCAGTCATTGCAGCCAATGTGTCAATCCATCTCGTTGAGGGTCTTCCCCTTTTTTGTTCTTATCCATCCCCCTGCCTTCAACAGGAGTAATCTGTCACCCTGCTCACTCACCACAGCCCTAGGAGAGTTTTGGACAAGGAGATTTCTTGATGTTTAGATTCCACTTGAAAGGTCAAGAGGTTGAGTTTTGATTCCAAACAAACCCAGCGTAGGGGATGTAAATATTATTGCCATTTAAGACAAGTTCTGGAGTGGTTTTGGCCATGATGGACACAGCCCTGTGATCCAACTCCCACTGTCATCTTGCTGTCCTTGGTCACAAGAACAGACCTGGTATCCTCTTTACTGTTTGCATAAGGAGAAAAGAAGTCAGTCAGTGAGCCTAAAAGAACTTGGGCTGCAGGCTAAGTTCTAAGTGATGCCTTTTCCTTTCTCTTAGGTTTCTAAGATCTGGGAGGGAAAACAGATCTGAGTGATTCTGGGAAAGGCAGGGCTGGGGAAGTAGCGCAGTATTGGGAATGTTTATTTATTTTAATTTTTATTGTGATTTGGGTGAGTTTTCAGAGCAAATTCATTTTCCATACAGCAGTTGGTACAGATTTTGTTTCATGACGTTCACTGCAGTCCCCACAATGTAACAGCTGTCTTTCCACTTCCTGCCTGTAGTTACCTCTTCCCTGTGTCCTTCTCTCCTGTGCCCCACCCCCATCTTCCTATGCAAACACTGCCCTTCTGTTCTCCCAGGATCGATCAATTGATTGCTCTAAGGAGTGTATTTACCTGGTGTAATGTTCACCCTGTATGCCTATCTATTTTTTGGCTGGAAGCCACAGGAGTGAGTTCAGTTCTAGACCTGAAGGGTAACTAGGAACCACAGTCTCCGGGGTCTCACCAGGCTCTATCAGACCAGCAAACCTGGTCTTTTTTGTTTGTGAGTTTTGTTCCACATTGTTCTCCCACTCTATCCAGGATCTCAGCATTGATCTTGGGGATATTTAGTGAGGCCAGGGGGTCTCCAGGCCCTCAGTCCCCTTGACCACTGGCTGGCAGCCTCGCTATAGACCTCCAATCCCAGCACACACCCAATTTTCTGCCAGAAGCTTGCAAACTCATTTCTTATCAGCCCATATATGACACAAAAAAAGGCATAAAAGTTTGCATCTCTCAAAGTTATTTGCTGCATTCTGAAGTTCAATAATAATTTTGGCTTGTCAGTGCTTCTTTGGGAGATCTGGTGGCATAGTGCCTAAGACATTTCACTGATAACCAGAAGGCTGGTGGTTCAAACCCTCCAGCCATTCCTCGGAAGTTTGGACAATCTACTTCTGTAGTGATACTGACTGAGAAACCCAAGGAGGGGTCACTATGAGTCAGATCAACTCAACAATAGTGAGTTTGGTTTGTTTCTTTTGGTGCTTCTTTAGATTAAACAAAAAAGGTGACCATGATTTTTTTTTTTTTCTTTCTCTTTGCCTCTTTCTATAAGAGATTTGAGGTCATTTACAACAAAAATACATGTATAGGGAAAGAAATCAACTCACTGCCATTGAGTCAATTCCTATAGCAACCCCCATTGGATTTCCAAGGCTGTAAATCTTTACTGAAGCAAACTGCCTCATCTTTATTCCACAGAGCAGCTGGAGGGTTCAAACCACTGACCTTTTAGTTAGCAACCAAATGCCTTAACCACTATACCACCAGAGCTCCTTAAGAAAAACAAAACATAAATATGAATAATCTAAGGCCTACATTTGTTACAGTTAAGGTTCAGTGTAGCTCTGAGCTTGCAGGCAGCCAAGAGAAAAGGGGAAATGTGATCAATTATGTTGTTTTCATCAGAACCGAGAAAGCTCACGCATAAAATATTTTGTCATTTGTGTTCTGTGAGGGTAGAGGCTGTGGCTACCTTGATGACAGCTACATTCCCAGAGCCTGGGTGCTCAGTGCACATCTGCTGCATGAATGAGGGGGAACAGATCACTCCTAGCACTAAGCCCCAAGAGAAATTTCTCACATGGAGTTATAAAAGTGGGGTCTGGGGTGATAGTGGACTCTGTTTCTCAATAACATATTTACAACAAATGCAATAACAGCACTCATGATACTTTAGTGTTCATGATTAAAGCCAAAGATGTAGTGTGACTATACTATCTATCAGAAGCTCTGGTGGCATAGTGCCTAAGGCATTTGACTACTAACCAGAAGGCTGACAGTTCAAACCTACCAGCCACTCCTCAGAAGGAAAATGGGGCAATATACTTCCATGAAAATTTACTGCCTCATAAACCCAATGTGGGTTGCTCTGAGTTGGAATCAACACGATGGCAATGGGTTTGGTTTTTTTTGTTTTATACTATCTACATCAGCCCAAGCTTGGTTCAAATACAAGCTCCCTCACTTCTGACTACGTGATCTTGATCAAGCTGCTTAATTTCCCTGAACCATGAGACCACATGGATTGGAAAAACTATAGTCCAGGTTTTGCTTCAAACCCTGCTTGCAAGTAGATGGGGGTAGGTACCCACTCACTGCCAGCAAGTCAGTTCCAATTCATAATGACCCTTTAAGACACAGTAGAACTGTCCCATAGGGTTTCCATGACTGTAAATCTTTATAGAAGTAGACTGCCTTATCTTTCTTCCATAGAGCAGCTGGTGGATTTGAACCACCGACCTTTTAGTGAGCAGCTGAATGCTTTAACCACTCTGCCACCAGAGCTCCTTAGAATGGGTGTGTGTGTATGTGTGTGCAGAACAACCTATTACCAAAGCAAATTATTTGTATTTATCTCATTGTTGTAGATTACTGTTATTAGCTCTGTGTGTGTGTGTCTGTATGTTTATGTAGAGTGGTACAGAATAGAAAATAAACAAAAAGCCCCAAATCTCCTTGCCCAGAAACCCCACTGACATTTTTTAGAAATTCAAGTAATTTATCTATGAAGTTAAAATATTCAAACTATCGAAAGACAAACTGAAAAGTTAAATCCTCCCAGCACTGCCATATTGCACAGGGGGCACCATTTGCATTAGAGTTGAGCAAAGCAGCAGCCCTGCCCCCTCCTCATGTGGATTTTTAATACCCCCCCAAAGGGAACTAGGATTCTCTGTGAATAGTTTAAAACTATTTCATAAGTTACTAAAAAACAAAACTTCAAAATGGAGAGGCATAGACTCTGAAGTATGAGGGATGGGGGTTAGACAACAAGAAGGACTTTCCAACAGAAAGGCAAAGTTGAAAAGAAGCCTGGAGGGACTAGGACTACAGCAGGAAAGAGCACAGGTTGAACTTTTAGCGAGTCAAGTTGTAAGAAACCCAAGGACAAAGCAAATGAGTTGCTGTTGAATCAATTCCAACTCATGGCAACTCCACGTGTTACAGAACACACCTGCTCTATAGGCTTGTCATCTTAATGGAAGCAGCTTGTCAGAACTTTACTTCTGTGGTACCGTTGGGTGGATTTGAACTGCCAACCTTTAAGACAGCAGTCAAGTACAAACCATTTATACTACCAAGTAAGTTGTTAGATGCCATCGGATCAATTTTCAACTCATAATGACCCAGTGTGATGGGCTTTTCTAGGCTATGATCTTTATAAAAGGATATTGCTAGTTTTTTTTTTTCTCCTGCAGAGTGGCTGAACGGGTTCGAACTGGTGAGTGCTTAGTCTGTGTGCCACCAGGGCTTCTTACCAAAGAAGTAGGGATAGAGAAGGAAGCAGAAGGCAGCTCTGCTCCTTTGCCCTAATGTGAAGCCAGCAAGGATGGTCTGGGTCCCACAGCCCCAAGCTGGCCTGTTCCACGCAGGTGGCCCAGGGCTGGGAGGCCCCGCCATGCCTGGAGAGTTTTATAGGCTTGGCTGCAGCCTCAAAGCGGCTCTGGCTGGTGAGAGCTGGGGGTGCTGGCAGAGAGGCTGGTTGGTTTATGAGTCAAGGCCAGGGCAGCCCCTCATACTCCCATGTGCCCCTGCAGGCTTCCAGGATGTGCATGTCATGGTCTTTGTGGGCTTTGGCTTCCTCATGGCCTTCCTGCAGCGCTATGGCTTCAGCAGCGTGGGCTTCACCTTCCTCCTGGCCGCCTTCACCCTGCAGTGGTCCACACTCGTCCAGGGCTTCCTCCACTCCTTCCACGGTGGCTACATCCACGTTGGTGTGAAGAGGTGGGTGGGCATCTCTGCCCAAAGGACCTGGCTCAGGTCCTGTCCTTCAAGTCTGTTCCCTGACCTGTGTTTGACTCATCCATCAGTTTCTCTTAAGTGCCCTGCCCGTTCTCTTTGCCTCGTTTCTTCTCTATCCTTGACACACACACTCATCCCTACCTCCTCATTTCTTTAGGGCCCCTATTACCCAGGGGCTACTAGGAGGATAGATAGCTTAATGGAAAAGGGCAGAGTTTAGAAGAGCTTTTGGTTTAAGTTCTGGTTCTTCCACTTATGTGGGTTTTGTTAGCCAAATCACAGAAATTCCCTAAACCTCAGTTTCCTCATGTACTAAAAGGGAGAGGTGATACCTTTTTGCCTCCCAAGAAAACCCTGTGGGACAGTTCTACTCTGTCAGAATTGACTCAACAGCAGTAGATTTGGTTTTGGTTTACAGGTAGGCTCGTTGCCTGTACCCCCCACTCCTGCCAGTGTTGTCCTGTCTCAGGCCGGCAGAGCCTCTCCCTGCCCCCTCTCTTCCCCTAGCATGATCAACGCTGACTTCTGCGCTGGGGCTGTGCTCATCTCCTTTGGCGCCATACTGGGCAAGACCGGGCCTGCCCAGCTGCTGCTCATGGCCCTGTTGGAAGTCATACTGTTTGGCATCAACGAGTTTGTCCTTCTCAGTCTTCTGGGGGTGAGAGCCTGGACAGGCAGGGAGTGAGGGGTGGCCAGGGCTAGGCTCTGAGCTGGGAGGGTATGCGGGGACTACCTCTCCACCTCAGCTCTATGTCACCAGGTGAGGGACGCAGGAGGCTCCATGACTATCCACACCTTTGGTGCCTACTTTGGCCTGGTTCTCTCACGAGTACTCTACAGGCCCCGACTGGAGAAGAGCAAGCAGCACCAGGGCTCTGTCTACCACTCCGACCTCTTTGCCATGATTGGTAAGGCCTGCTGAGGTGTGTGTGTGTCGGGGGGGGGGAGGTTGGGGGAAACTGCTCCAGACACCCCTGACCTGGGACAAGGAGACCATCTCCAGGCAGGGTCTCAAGGTGTTACGCATGGTCCTTGGGGTGAAATCCCTGTGTTGCAGCTGAGAAAGCCCTTCTCACTCAGATTCTGCAGCCAGGGCCCTGGGCTCTATGCTCATCATTCTCAATAACTTTGTGACAGGTTCTTGAACTCAGCTCTGGGGTATCCATGTCCTTGGAGATCCATTCAAGGGACCTTCCTAAATCTGAAGCTGGATCACATCAATTCCTGCCTAAAATCCTCCAAAACCCCATGACTCATGAGTTAGAAGCAGGCTCTTCAGCCTGAACACCGGTCACTGCCAGGTCTTACCTGCCCCTCACCCTCCTCATCTCTCCCTGCTTTGCTCCAGCCAGACTCCAGGGCTGCAAAGAAAAAAGCCTCTGCCCTCTGAGCTGCTTCTCACCCTCTAGGGACACTTCCTCCCAAGTTCATGCTAAAGATTCTCCCAGAAGCCCCTGCATTTTTTTTTTTTTTTTAACTTTTTATTGTGATTTAGGTGAAAGTTTACACAGCAAATTCATTTTCCATACAGCAGTTCATACACATTTTGTTTCATGACACTGCCTGCAATTCTCCACAATGTAACAGCTCTCTTCCCACTTCCTCCCTGTAGTTACTACTGCCCTGTGTCCTTCTTTCCTATGCATTCCTGCCCCCTGAGTTATCTCCCTGTGCAAACCCTGCCCTTCTGTTCTCTCATAATTGATTGTTCTACCTGATGTAAATGTTCACCCCATATGCCTGTCTGTTGTTTGATTAGAAGCCACGGGAGTGGTGAGTTCAAGTCTAGACCTGAAGGGTAACCAGGGGCCATACTCTTGGGGGTCTCACCAGGCTCTATCAGACCAGTAAACTTGGTATTTTTTTTGTATGATTTTTAGTTTTGTTCCATGTTGTTCTCCCACTCTGTCCAGGATCTCCTGCACTGATCCCTTTCCAAGTGGTTGACAGTGGTAGCCAAGGTACCATCTAGTTCTTCTGGTCTCATGGTTATATAGGCCGTGGTTCGCATGATCCACTAGTCCCCTGGACTAATTGTTTCCATGCTTCTTTGGTTTTAGAAGCCCCTGCTTTCTTAGGTGGGGGGGGGGGCTGGGGTTCTCTTGAGTCACCCCTTAGAGCAGAAGGGTCTGGCCTGGGAGCACCACCACTACTTCCTGTTTCTTCTCCATACATACCCCACCTTGGCCTCTGCTCCTCTCTCTGCCTTTACAAACTGCAGTTGGGAAATGAAATTGAGATTTCATTTTCTCATAACTGGTATTGAGTGGTAATTAAAGTCCCTGCCCTTACATTCAAAACCAAGGCAGGTTTTGTATTTCCTGCCCATCTCCTGGGTTTGTTGTGAAATAGAGCACATGGAACCCAAGGTTGGCTGAGGCTTCCTTGTACTGTGAGACCCAGAAAAGGTTGGCTTGAAATCCAAAGGCTTCCCTAAGATCTCCCTGCATTCCCAAGTCTTTCTTGGCCTCTTGCTCCTGTTTTGTGGGGGTGGGGGTGGGATGTATACATCAGACCCCCAACCCCTCCTTGATTCCTCCCAAAACTCTCCACTCAGAAGGTACATCTGTGGACTGTACTGAGGACTGCAGGGCCATAGGAAGAAGTCATAGGGCACACCCAGCAGACCCCTCAGGACTCACTGGCCCTATCCCACCTGGCCCCCAGCCTCCTCTCTCTCCTGTGCCCTTGTCCTCTCCTCTTCCTCCCTCCAGGATTGCCCTGGGAGCCTCACACAGGCAGGCCGGGTATACTGGGCTCCCAGCTCTTACCCTAAACCCCTCAGGCACAGCCCCATCCAGTGCTCAGCCACAGCTATTGGGCACACAGCAGGGGCCGCCTTCCCTAGGAGGTAGTTGAGTTAACATTGTTGTTGTTGTTATGTGCTGTCCAGTCGGCCCGACTCATAGCAACCCCTCCTTGGGTTTCCGAGGCAGTATCATTACGGAAGTAGGATTGCCCAACCTTCCTTCCGAGGAGTGGCTGGTGGGTTTGAACAGCCAGCCGTCTGGTTAGCAGGCAAGTGACTTAGCCACTATGCTACCAGAGCTCCTTGAGTTGTTTTGAATTATCAGAAAAGGGAAGGAAAAAAGGCAGAGGCCACTGCTTGCTGAGTACTATGCTGGGTACTTCATGAACATTTTTGTTTTGAGTTAACATTAGAAAACAAAAATGTTCATGAAGTACCCAGCATAGTACTCAGCAAGCAGTGGCCTCTGCCTTTTTTCCTTCCCTTTTCTGGTAATTCAAAACAACTCAACCTTCTGTGTCTTCAATCAAATAGTTGCCTTATATACCAGCACCTATCCATAGCTACCGTTTGTTGAGCACTTAGTACCTGTTAGGCCATGGACTACATACTTTATATGCATCATCTCATTTCATCCATGCTTTGTGAGGTAGGTACAATTATCCCCACTTTACAGTTGAGGAAACTGAGGCAGCTGAAAGAGAGGAGGTGATTTGCCTGCAGTTACACAGCTTGGACTTGTGGGGGAGCTCTTACTTCCTCTCACTCTGCCTGTACACCCACCATTCAGGGACCATCTTCTTGTGGCTGTTCTGGCCTAGCTTCAACTCTGCGCCCACAACATTGGGAGATGGGCAACATCGGACAGCCCTCAACACCTACTATTCCCTGACTGCAAGCACCCTCAGCACCTTTGCCCTGTCAGCCCTCGTCGGAGGAGATGGGCGCCTGGATATGGTATGGGGATGAACGTTGGGAGAGGCCAAGGGATGGACTGGGAGGAGGAAGGTAGGTCTGAGGCCCTGCAAGGAAGATTCTCTGGGGAACAGGTTAGGGCAGGGTGTTGGAGCTTCATCCGACCTGGTGGTAGGGAAACAGCATGGGAGGAGATGACACAATAGCAGGAGAGTCAGAGGTTAGATAACAGAAAGGACTTTCAGAAGCAGTGGGTGCCACTGTGGTGGATGAGGTTGGCCTGGATGTGGGTGTGATGATCTAAAAAAGCTTCCAATGCCTCACTCTTTCCCGTTCCCTTAGGTTCACATCCAGAATGCAGCGCTGGCTGGAGGGGTTGTGGTGGGGACGTCAGGTGAAATGATGCTGACACCCTTTGGGGCTCTGGCAGCTGGCTTCCTGGCTGGGACTGTCTCCACGCTGGGGTACAAGTTTTTCACGGTATTGATATCTCTTGGACCCTGGGAAGAACAAGCAGTTATCAGCACCCTGCCTCCCACCTCTCCAGGCCCAGGAAGATGGTGGGAGGGGGGACATGAAACTCACTATTGGTGTCCCATCCTGCAGCCCATCCTTGAGTCAAAATTCAAAATCCAAGACACGTGTGGTGTCCACAACCTTCATGGGATGCCAGGGATCCTGGGGGCCCTTCTGGGGGTCCTTGTGGCTGGACTGGCCACCCATGAAGCTTATGGAGATGGGTGAGTTTCCCTAACCACGCTGTAGTCATTATCCCCTAGAATGACCTCCCTCATAGCCAACACCATTTGTAGATCAAGAAAAAAAGCAGTGTCTGTTCATTCATTCGTTCATTCACTCATCCATATTCTGGTATCTGAGGAAACAAGTGAACAAGATCAACCCAGGCTCATTTATCTTCCTGCCCTCAGTCGACTGGAGCAGAAGGTCACTGAATGAATGGTTGCAATAGTGTTGTGTTACTAAAGGGTCAGTAAAAGATCATGCCCCTGATAACTTTTCTTTCTTTCTTTCTTTCTTTTTTTTTTTTTTTTGCACATCAGGGCTCAGAAGAGAGGGTGGGTAAGAGTGAGCCTCAAACTGAGTCTTGAAAGGTGTGTGCGTGTTTGCTGGCTGGGGGCCTGGCTTGAGCAAAGCCCAGAGGGGAGACAGCCTGGCAGGCTCCCTAGGGGCCCTTTTGGCCACTGCATGTCCACTGATGCGAGTGCTAACACCAGTGCACTGATCATCCCTGGCCCTAAACCTCATCCCATCTGCCCTCTTCTTCTACCTTCTTTCCCAACCCCTTCCAACCTCATCTCCCTGCAGCCTGGAGAGTGTGTTCCCGCTCATTGCAGAGGGCCAGCGCAGTGCCAGGTCTCAGGCTGTGCACCAGCTCTTTGGGCTGTTTGTCACACTGACTTTTGCCTCTGTGGGTGCGGGGCTTGGAGGTAAGTGGCCTTGGCTGGGGGTGAAAGGCTGACAGAAGCTCCGGGGAGGGGAGAAGTAAGAGGAGGGGTTTTCTGGGGGGAAGAGCCTTTGGGTCTCCTCCCCCTGACATTTCTTCATTTAATCACAGGTATTTATGGAGTGCCAACTGCCTACTTGTGTCAAGTGAGGGGTGGGGTTCACGGGTAACCTCCAGGTGAGGAGGAGGAAGTGAGCGCTTATTTCCTCCAGGTGCAAAGGGAGGCTAGGAGCCAGCCAAGGGCTGATTAGGTCTCCAGGACTCTCTCCTCTGGTTCTGCGGATCTCCGCTACTTCCTCCTCTGCCCACTAGAGGGCAGCACAGCCTCAGGCTGAGGCCTGAAAGGGGCCTGAGATGTCTGGGGCAGGGGCAGGGAGGAGGGCACAAAAACCTTCCACAGAGGCAGATTGCTCACTAGTCCTGGGTCAGGTAGTGCTTCCTGGTGTCTGGCCTAAGTCCTTTTGGACTTAAAAAAATAAAACATGTTTCACTATCCACACCTTCCTGTTCCTACCTCAAAATTTTCATTCTGTAACAAGGCTCAGTTCAGTCCATTCATTCATTTACTCATATACCAAAAAAAAAAAAAAAAAAAAAAAAATCAAACTCACTGCCATTGAGTTGATTCCAAGTCATAGTGACCCCTTCGGATTTCTGAGGCAGTAAATCTTTATGGAAGTAGATTGCCTGATCTTCCTTCCGTGAAGTGGTTAGTGAGTTTGAACCACCAAAGTCCACTTCTGATTAGGAGTCAAATGCCTTAGGCACTGCACCACCAGAGTTCCTTATTTACTCCTATACTTATTCAATAAACATTTTCTGCATCTCCCCTGTGTAGGAGGCTACAGAAAGCTCAGCAGCTGTGGTTCATGACAGAATCACAATTCACCCATTATGACTATAAACTTGAGTAGTCATAACTTCTCTGAGCCTGTAATACACAGATAATACTCACCTTGTAAGGCTTCTGTGATTATTCAGGAAGGCAATTCATGTCTAGCACTTTGCAAAGGGCCTGCCACATACTAGGTACTCAACAAATATAGCTGTGGTTTGCTTGTGCCAGGCACTATGTTGACCTCATGCTCCTCCAGCCCCTCTGTGCCCTGTGGTTCTCAGTGGCACCCTGTGCCATGGGTGCCAAGCCTCACACATCCCCCCTCCCAGGGCTCCTGCTGAAGATGCCCATCCTGGACTCCCCCCGAGACTCCCAGTGTTTCGAGGACCAGATCTACTGGGAGGTGAGACACGGTTACAGCCCCTCATGAACCTCTTTCTTCACTTTCCAGACCTCCCTTCCCTGCCTCCCCTCCTTCCTTCATGTCTGCTCATTCTCCTTGGGGCCACACCCCTAAGCTTTGGCCTCCAGCCCCCTGGAGCTGCCCCTTCACCTGCTTCCCCCCATCCCCTGCCCCTGCCTTCCAGGTGCCAAGGGAGCATGAGGATGAAGCCCAGGGACCTCTGAGGACCGAGGAACCAGACACTCGGGCCTAATCTGCTGTTGACCCTGAGAGGACACTCTCCTATTACATGTTGAGAAGTTCTTCTTTTCTAGTTCCCATCCCTTCTGCTGCAGAAAGGAGTTGATGGTCAATGAGCCACAAGGAGCCGCTTCTCCACGGGTGGTATTAGAGGGAGGGGCAGGGCTGTAACCTGGTGTGGTGTGGTGGGGAGGGCCATGCCACCTGCCCACACTCCACTACCTTCAAATGTAGGGAGAAAGGGCCAAAAGTGAGGCATCCACACCCCTTTCTCGTTGAGAAAGCTATGGAGACATCAGAGAGGCTGACCCACTGGTCCAGGATCACACAGCGATGGTGAAGTCTGAGCTAGGACCTAGCACTCTGAGGGCGATAAACACCGCCGTCATCACCAGGGACTCTGACTCCTTTTTTGTGCACTGGGAATATGAGAAGCTCCTTTCATTCTCTAATTTGTACTGTTAGGACCCCAGGGTGGGAAAGGACCTTAGTGTTGACGTCCTACCTCCCAGGAGGCATGGAACTTCCTTTACGGTGCTATGATTTGCTGATGGTGGGCTCACCGCCAGGCACAGGGAACTTGTTCTCTCCTAGAAAGCCTGCATCCTTTATAAGATAATTTGGGCTGCTGGGTAGTTCTTCCTATTCCAGAATTGCTGCCACTCTGACCCTCAATTTGGGTAGCATCTGAGCAGAGTAGGGGTATAGGGGCATATTTGTCACCAGTCCCTCAAAAGCTGGGAGCATCCATAACACAGGTTCCATCCACCTTATGTCTCTGTCCTGAGCCTGGGGAGTGAGGAGTAAGTAGGGTCGTGTGGTGTGAGGAATAAAGGTGGTGGCTAAGAGGTTGGGAAATCCTACTTCCGTAGTGATACTGCCTCGGAAACCCAAAGAGGGGTCGCTACGAGTCGGGGACGACTCCACGGCACATAACAACAAGAGAGTCAAGAAGGATGGTTCAGGGTTTGTGTTGACTTGGGACCATTCTGACCACCAGAGGGCACTCTACACTCAGCAGAGGGAATGCAGCCTTCCTGCCCTTGCCTTATCCTCTACCAAGGATGGAAGTCTTTCTTGCAGCCTAACCCCTTTCCTGTCTGCTGCAGCTATGGTACTCTTGCATTCATACCACAAGTCTTTTATGAGCCCCCACCCCCCACTAGATGTCAGGCCAGGTGCTAGAATTTTCAGATCTCTCATTCAACAGAATTCATCCTTCCAGTACACCATAGTCCCCTTCTGACCCCTGCAGCACTGGGACCCCTCCACCCTCTCCTGCCCTTGCCCCAGGTTTCTGGTAAGAGTTGAGCATGAAGATGAGTCCCTCAAACTCAGATTCATGCAGACCGAGGAACAAAGGGAGAAAGTGGAGGGATTCCTGGGGCTTGGGATGGGCAAAACTGCCCATCGCTGTCAAGCTCCATCCTCAAGGTAGCTGGGGGAGAGGGGAAGGAGGAGAGGAACAAGGAGCAGGGTCCTACCCATATGGCCCTATGACTCTGCTTCCACCCCTCAACTTTCCTCCTGCCTCCACAGCCTCCACTACTCCTTGCTGAATGGGATAGGTGTGGTGAGGAGACATTCCTGAGCTGAGATTGCAAAAAGATTCCTGGTCAGTGTCAGCCTCTACTGGGAGGAAGGGGAGGAGTGTGGAAGAGCTGAGGCCCCATCTCTCAACCCACAGCAGGAAGCCTCAGCTCCCAGCCCTGCACTGGTCTAGGTCCAGCCAGGTGACCTCCCCTCACCCCACAGATCCCTAAGCAGTCCTGGAACAGAGATCTGGAAGAAGATTGGGGAAAGGGGAATTCTGGAATGGGGTGAGACCTTCCCTAGCCTACCCCATTTTGGGTGGAGAAAGCTATGAATATTCATTTATTTCAACATTTTGTGACCTGATCCTCTCCCTCTACTGCTGGCTCCTTCTTGGCCACAACCACATCTTCTCCTCCAGGCCTGGAGAAATGGCAGCTCCAGCCCAGCCTGTCCTTGCTGGGAGAAACACCCATCTCAAGCCTCTTTAGGAGATTTCCTAGAGAAGAGACAACTGAGCTCTCCCCAACCAGTAACCAGTTGCCATGGACTGGAACCGGACTCATTGTGACCCCATGTGTATCAGAGTAGAACTATACTCCATAGGATTTTGATTTTTGATTTATGATTTGGGTAAAAGTTTACAGAGCAAATTGGTTTTCCATTCAACAATTCATACGCATTTTGCTTTGTGACGTTCATTGCAATCCCCATGATGAAACAGCTCTCCTGCATAGGGTTTTCAATGGCTGATTTTTCAGAAATAGCTTGCCAGGCCTTCATTCAAGGTGCCTGTAGGTGGACTTGACCCACCAACCTTTCTGTTAAAGTGAACTCTATGCATCACCCAGAGATTCCCAAGCTCTTTCTGAGGAAGGACAACTAATTGCCCAGCCAGCTTCTCCTAAATAAGATGTTTTCACTTGGTATTTTCTCTTGTCTCCCTTCCTCAATTTTGCCTCTAGTGCCTGGCACAGGGTGGGTGTCCCATAGATTGCTCTGTTTAGTTTGAGTCATTATTTGTGGCGTGGGCATAGGGGTGAGTGTCAGTCATGGCTTTCAGGAAGGAAGGTCAGAGGGTAAGGAGGACAGGTATCCTTGGAGCCCCTTTGCGGAGCCAAGGCTCAACCCCTCCCCCATCTTCCTTGTGTCTCCTGGTTCAGCATCATTGGTCCCCCACACAGTGGCCTAGCCATTCAGGCTGGGTCAACAGGGTGACAATGAGTAGGTCAAGGAGATGGCAGGGCCAGGGGCCAGGGGGGCTCCTTCCTCACCCCTTCAGGACAATGAGGCCTCTGCCCCTCAGGGACAGCCCCTCTGATCACCACCATTATTGCTCTCAATGCAGGACAATCGGACACTTGCCCGCTCATGAACTCTGTCTGTCCAACCCCAATGACTGAACTCTGGGGACAATGATGGACGAGGACACTGGGGCCCCTGCTCACCTCCCAGGACCCCGCTGATGGAGCAAACAGGAAGGGCTGGGGTCAGGGCTGAGGCCAGCAGAGCCTGACCCACTGAGGGAAAGGTCGCTGCCGCTGCTCTTGACACATGTGTGCGCATGCAGAGCCTCAGAGTTTCCTGCCCAAAGGTACCTGGATCAGAAGTATTAGGTTCGCCAGGGGCCTCAGGGTCGCTTGTGGACCTGTGTTGCCAGAGTCCCCCCGAGGCGGGAGCTAGTTGCTGCTCCTCTGACCTCTGGAGGACCCAGAGCTCCGAACCACGCAGCCTGGGAAAGGCTTCAGATCCCCCCTATTGAGATTCACATCACGGCGAGCGCTGTGGCCCCAGTTCGGGGAGGAATTAGACACGGCGTGGGTGTCCAAAGTGGGGGGCGGTGGCGGTCCTGAGGCAGCCACGTCCCCCCACCTCACCCCGATATTCCTCTCCCATCCTCGGAATAGCCCCCAGTCGCCACCCCCCGCTCTCTGCGCCCTGTCCCCTTTGTCTGGCCCGCCCGCCAGCTCCCAGCCGGGTCCCTGCGAGACCCGGCCCGTGCGCCCGCCGCAGCCGCCGCCGCCCGGGAACAATGCGGGCCAATGTCTCCGGGCCAGCGAGCCGGCTATGCAAATGCCCAACGGCCTGTGAGAATCCCCCTCCGCCGCCACCCGGGCTTCCTCGGCCTGAAAGGGGCTGGCGGCCGGGCCGAGGTGGGGGGAGGCGGTCACTGCATAGGGATGAGCTGTCGTCCCAGAGCAACCAGGACAGAGCGCCATTGTGTCTGCCGCCGCCATCTGATCACCAGTCGAGGCCCCCAGCCCCAGGAGGAAGGCAAAGGGTGACCGGAACCAGACTTTGGGCCGAGAGGTGCTCACTTGTCCCTTCCACTTGTACTTCCCTCCCCAAAGAGCCTTGACTTTGGGGTCAGACGTGGTGGGCCCAAGTCTTGGCTCCACTGCTCCCTGGCTTGGTGATCAGAGTCAGTCAGTTCATTTCTTTGAGCCTCTGCCTTCTTCTGGGAGTTACATCTGGCTCATAGCTGGTGCTCTTCTCACCTCCTTCCCCCAACCTCTGTGTGTTTTTTCATATATTGACCCACTGGGCTCTCGTAGGCTATCTGGGGTCAATTCTCTTCCAGAACCCTGAGAGAAATACTTGTGATTTTCCCAATGCAGGTTACTGGGCAAAGATGTCTCAAGGGGTCCTTCTAACCTATGAGTTTCCTAGTGGAGCAGGCCTGCCTTCTTTCCTGACTCCCTCTGTCTTCCACTGCCTTAACCAGTTAAGGAGGTCCACCTTTTCCTGGGAGAAAGATCATGGGAGGACTAAAGTTAACTTCTCCAATGATGTGGAGATGGGGCCTTGCCGATGTACATCTCCCCTCCAATCAGTGAGAGAGGTACATCCCTCCACCTGTGTCCATCCAAAATAGCTGGAGAGTGGGTAAGGGTGTTCTATGCTGGGAGCAGAGCTGTTTGTTTCTTTGGCTGGGAACTCAGCCCCCTGTGCTCTGGACACTTACTGGCTGAGTAAGTAGAGTTTGAGGCTCAGCAGGGCACAGGACCTGAGTCTATCTTCTCTAAACTCCCATCAAGACTCATGACCAATGCTACTTCGGGTGAAAAGCCATCTGGGAGATGGTGTTTGGGCTCTTGAAGTAGTGATGCTTCTGGGAGACTGTCATGGTTTGGGGCCAACTGGAAAAAAAGCACCCCAAAAGAGAACTGTTGCAGGAAGTCCAGGTGTAGGAGAATGTTGAATGAGGGGAGATACACAGGCAGTCTCCCGGGAGAGAGGCCCTGCCAATGGGCTCAGAGGCCTCCTTTCTGGTTTGGCCCAGCCTTCCACCTAAGATGGGGCTCTGCCCTTCTCGCCTCTATACAGATCCAGGTACATGTCTATCTACCCTGTTCTGGGGAGGTAGAGATGGGATGGGGGCAGTGGGACTTGGCTTCTTGGGATAGAATTTGAGAGGCTATTGAATAAGAAGGAAGATGGGGGCAATCTACTCCCGTAAAGATTTACCACCTCAGAAAC